TACCCGTACCCGTACCCGATTTAATATATCGAGTTTTACCCGTACCCGTACCCGTATCCGGTCAACCCGGGTATTCCCCGTCAAAGTCGGGACGGGTTCGGGTATTACCCGCGGGTACGGGTATATTTGCCATCCCTACTTGTCCAAGGTCGTGCCACCCCTAGTCACTAGTGTGAGGAATCACAATCACATCATATTCATATTCAATACAACATTTCATCTCATAACTCAATTCCATATCACATATACTTAATAGATAAGTCTAACAAAATAGTGGTTCGCATACCCCTCAAGCAATTCACCATGAATTCACATCTAGATCATCCAATTTTTTTACCATATAATATAGCAATAAATTATAACACTCAATTGAATCATCAATTTAATACAATATTAAATCAAATAGTAAAACTCCCAATTTTCCAAAACCTAACTCAGACATTTTTCTATAATTTCGTTCTCTCTCCCAAATCATCATTTTTACAAATTAAATATATATTCATAATCCTAAATTCATACAAATCACATAAGACTAATAATTTTCCAAACAGAAGTAATTATAAAATTACTCATAATCCTACGAGCTTCCTCTTCTACTCAATTTTCTCATGTAACTTTGCATACAAATAATCCCCTCTTCTATTCATAAGTTTTGTAGATGAAACATGTAAATTCTGATCACAAGTTTTGCAAAAAAAAACATAAAACCCACGTCACAAATTTTATGACAAACTTAATAAACTTTTCATGTGATTTTCTATAAGTTGGATAATTCTTCTCATATCAAAAGTTTTTATTTATTAACTTAATAACATCTTAATCTTAAAAAAAATTCTTAAATTAAGTACAAAATTTTTAATTCTAAATAATATCTTAAAAATAAATAATATTTTTTATATTTAAATAATATCTTAAAAATTTGAAATTAAAAATTTAAATCGTTTACCCACACTATCTTAACTGTCAGAATAGAGATAACATCAAATAATGATACTTTTTTCATCCAACAAAAAATATATCACTTCCTTCTTGTTATCTCTAGAGAATAGAATTCTTGTTATGCCTAGAGAATAGAAAATACGAAGATAATTCAGTTTGTTAGCTTATGAAAATATCTTAGATCTATAAAGAGTACAGTTACAGTCTGTGTTGATTAAAAATTTAAAATAATAAAACACTTACCTTTACAGAACAGATTGTTTGGCAAAAACAAGTTCTCTTTTATTCTAAAACACGGCAACGAACAACTGTAAATTTCTATTAAAAAAAAAAGATTTTGCCTCAATTTAGACCCCTAAATTTAACCAATTCGATCCGAATAAAATATCTTTTATCAAATTTGAATATGATTATATTTCTAAATAATCAAATACGAAATTCCAAGTACTCGAGTCAACAAATTAAGAAAAAAAATACTCCCTTCCAATTCTTCTGCTTTCACATTGACATATACACTTGCAATTTAATAACAAGATAAAAACAAGGATAAATTATTGATTTTTTTTCTTTTATTATTAAAAAACTAAATAGTCTATTAATTTCAGAGAACGGTCTCAGTCTCACGTTGTTTTTTTCTTTAATTGAGAGAAACAATGTTATCTATATCGAATTATTTTAAAAATGATTAAATTATATTTTATTTTCCTACATTATCTATTTCACAATCTTAATCTCTTAATATTTAAAATTTTAAATCCGTAATTTTTTTAAAAATTTGTTAAATTTAAAGTTTCAGTCAAGCCATTAAATATTTACATATTGACCAATAAAATTAAAATATTATTAAATAAATAGTATCATAATTGATATTTAATAATATTTAAAATATTTTTTAATTTCATAATAGTAGTAAAATATTTAAAAATCATCATTTACAATACAGTCTAAAATTATAATTTAACTTTTCATCACAATATGTCATTCAATTTAACTATTATTAAACATTAATAGTCAGATTAATTACTTAATGTAAGTAATAGTTAATATTATAATTTGTCTCACCATAAACATTTAATAATTAAACTAAAATTATAAATTTTAAAATCGAGCAATCAAAATTACACAAAAGAATAGAAGTACAAAACAGTAAAGTAATTTTAAATAAGAAATAAATCAAAACCAAACAAATTAATATAAAAAAAAAAGTAATTTATTTATTTTGATAAGAAAGAAGAATATTTTATTTTATCTCCAAAACGAATAAGCCGTCAAATAAGAATAAAAAAGAAAACAAAATAAACGCCGCCAACTATAATTACACAACGAACCTTTGAGAGAAAACACAACGCCACGCCACGCCACGCCACGCAAAACCCGATCTTTGCCATTCCTCTCAAAGGCCTAAGCCATGTCTGGACGCTCCCACGCGCCGCCGCCGCCGCCTCGGGCACTCTACAAGCAGCAGTCTTGGTCGCCGGACATGCTCCGCGACGAGGCGTGGCAGCGGCGGAAGGAGAGCGCCCGCCGGCGCCCCCACCGGCTGAGCAAGAGCCTCTCGGAGGACGACCTGGCGGAGCTGAAGGCGTGCATCGAGCTAGGGTTCGGCTTCGATTCGCCCGAAATTGACCCCAAATTGTCCCACACCATCCCCGCTTTGGAATTCTACCACGCCGTTAATAAACGCTTCAACCACCACGCTTTATCTCGCTCTTCTTCTTCCTCTTCCCTTCTCTCCGACAACCACATTGCTAGCCCCACCACTATTTTCAACCCAGGTACCCCTTTTTCAATTCCAACTTCTTCTCTCTCTTCTTTTTCTTCACACCATGCCATCAAAATTTGATTTTTTTTTCTTTTTGCTAGAAAAACATGTTGAATGAATTTTAATATTGATTTTAAAAAATAAATTAATAACTATATGGTTTAATTGTTTGATGGGTGTTTCAATTTGATTGTTCTTGTGAAGGCGATGATTTGGCTGCGAAGAAGACACGGTTGAAGCAATGGGCGCAGGTGGTTGCGTGTGCGGTGAGGGAATCTTCTTCTTCGTCTTTGGGCTCATACACTTCCGACCAAAGTTAGTTGATAGTTGAATATCTGAGGGAACAAGACCAACGTTGGACCATGATTTGTTTGTAGATAGTTTTCGATGGTTTCTTTTCATTTTTTTTTTTAATTTTATTTTAAGATTTGTTATTTACTAATGTAATTTGAATATGTGGGTGGGTATATACATTTTCAGACTCAAAACATTAGTTGTGTTAATTTCAGTTCTTTTGCCAGTGGGTAGATGTTTGAGAGGGGTTTTTTTAGGCTGGTTGCTCATTCTTTTTTATATAAAATATATATTGGTGATAAACGTTTATGTGTTTTGTTGTTTGTGCAATTCAATTTGTGTTTTAGTGTTTGGCTGATGTGTTCAAGATGATCGCTAATGCGTTAATTGGTTGGATAACAAACAAGGGAAGTCAAAATAGGAGAAATAAAAATAGAGAAAGCTCTTTCTGTTTGGCTTATTTGGAACAAGAAAAAAAAATAGAGAAAAAAAAGGTGAATGTAAATCTTAATTTAAAATCTTTTCTTCTTTTTCCCTGAGTAGGGAGAGGGGAAAAAGATAATTTTATTAACAAATATTGATGGTTTTTAAAGTTTTTAAGATATTAAGTATATTTACTTTTTTATTTAAAAGATATTTTCTAAATAAAGGGTGAAAATTTGAAGAAAAATAGAACACTACTTTTCGGTCTAATGTATTCCTTAAGTGAATATGATATAAAAGGACTTATATATTTATGATTTAGTGTCTTGTAATTTTGTGCAAAGCTACGACTAGAATGAACATGGTCTTTGGTTAAGTCGTATAATAAGAGAGTACACATCTTCCAACTAAAGAGTCGATTTGCAATTTAGGTGATCCCTTCATCCTCTATGTAGCCAAAATTTTAATCCAAATTAACAAAATAATGGGCTGTGAATCTACCATTTAAATTGATCAATACAATTATGAGATTGATTAGTGACAATATCGAGTTGATCTATAAGATTGATTAACAATAATATGAAACTGATCAATTTTTTTTTCTTAAATTGGTCAATTATTTAAAAAAAATTAAGAAAGAGAATGGATAGAAAGATGAATAGATTCATCATAAGAAAACAATGCATTAATGACAATGTAAAAATCTTCTATATTAATTTAATTATAACTAGTATTGACATCCGGAATATTTATTATATGGAATCAAAATTTATAATAAATTATATATATATATATATATATATAGTATGTTTAAATATATAAATCATATTTAAATTTTTTATAAATAAATATTTTTAAATATATAATGTAGTATAATATTATTTTTATTTATTGATGATTTATTTTAGAAATATTCAAATTTAATTCATAAATAATTATAATAAATAAAATTAAATTAGATAAAAAAATTATAAAAATTATAAAAATCCTCTCTTTGAAGAAAAGTTCCTAAAAATATTATAGTGTAACATAGAAGTTTGTGTTTAATATATATGAATTGATTTATTAAGTTTATTGATTTTTAGAATCATTACCTTAAAAATTATTGGTTAAATTATACTTTTTATCTCTTTATTTTTGTTAATATGCAATCTTAGTTTTAATCCCTATTTTTAAAATAAAAATATTTAGTCTCTCTAATTTTAAAAGAACAAAATTTTGATCCTCCTAATAATTTGAAATCTATTAATCATTAAATTTTGATATTAAATCATACTTAAGTAATGTCACATTGAGTATCATGACAATTGAAGATTAAAAAAAACTATAAAAAAAAGATTTAAATACTTATCGCTTGTTAAAATACATACAAAGATTTTTGTATGTTATTTTTTAAACTCTATCTTTAATGTCACATCACTAAATATTACTTTATTTAAATGATGTCAGATTATTAAATAACGTCAAAATTCAACTATCAACAAATTTTAAATTGACGATATAATTAAAATTTCATATTTTAAAAATTAGAGATCAAATATTTCTATTGTAAAATAAGAAGACTAAAATTACATACTAACAAAAATAGAGAGACTGAAAATATAATTTAACTAAATTATTCTCATAATATTCTTTATTAGTTGACCAATAATGCATATTAATTAAACTCTAAGAATAATTTTAAATTCTCTACAACATTTCTTACTTTATATAGTAAGCATTAATATTTATTTTAAAATTTTTTCTTTTTTCAAGATATTAAATGTATTGGATAAAGAAAAAGATATTAAATATATTTATTTTTTCATTTAATATTTTGTATACTAAAGCATATCAGGAAGATCTTTAGCGGTTTTGGCCCGTTAATGATACTATGGATTTCGTCAAGCAATATATTAAATTGGTCATTTCTTAATTGGAAAGAAGATAAATAGAAAATTGACTTTAGAAAATATAGAAATCTCGAGTCGTAAGCATCTGAGCAACAATGGAATGACAAAATTGAGGCTACGGTATTTGACAAGTTATTATCGCTGATCAGACGGTGTAGCAAAGTTATTCTTTTTGTATTCAACAATTGCATTAATTATTTTGAATTAAGGGCACTTGGTTCAAGTTGGGTTGAATTTAAGGTGGCTTAGATTTAGGTTGTAAGAAAATGGCTTAATTTTTATTTAATATTTTGTTTCAGTGATTTTAATAAATCTCACCACCCAATTAATAAATTTTTATAATACATAAATTTAAATAGGCTTTATTAACATCTTAGTTATAGTAATATTCTTCTTCGTTTAACTTTAGTACCTACACAAAATTCTTGCCAGTTTCTTAGTTTTATGTTTTTATTTTGTGAATATTATTTCAAACTAGTGGTAGAGCCCGTGCATTTGGGCAACATATATTTATGTTTTAAAATTTTAAATATATTAATAATTGCATATACAAGTAATCTTCTCGTACTCTGAAGGCCGAACGAGAGCTCCAAATGAATATTCCGGTGAGAGAGAGGGTACCTGCAAAAGGCACTCCGACGCTCAAGTCAAGACAAACACAAATATCGATAGTAATTAATGAAAAGTGACGTTACCTCGAGATGTGAACTATTTATAGTGACATCAATGGGTCTGCCCTTTATGAGCCCGTGCTAGGTATGTCGAATTAGGTAATACGTCTTTAATCTTCTTACATATCTGATTAGCCTCTAATCACTGCTTAGGGGTTGTTTATCTTGGTCAAGCATGCCGATTGGGTGTCGGTGACCAGAGACAATCCTTTCGGGTCCCGAGTACCTTTGTAAAAAGATTTCCCTCGGCATTTGGCACTGCTTAGGGGTTGTTTATCTTGGTCAAGCATGCCGATTGGGTGTCGGTGACCAAGGACAGTCCTTTCGGGTCCCGAGTACCTTTGTAAAAAGATTTCCCTGTATTCGGCATCACCGAACTGGTGCAGTGTTGTCTGGTCTTTGTTAATACTTCGTCTTGATGGGTTGTGTCGTCATTCGGCCGTGTCAACATTCCCGATGCCGAGTGGGGTGGCCGAAAGGCCTTACCTGTATAGATATTTCCGATGCCGAGAGAGGTTGCCGAACCGAAGGGTATGGCCGAAAGGCCTTACCCGTACACTTGCCCCCAGCCTTGGAAAGAGGGAAAAGCTATTTTCAAGGGTATTTGAGTCAGTAGGTAGCCACGTCATTCTCAACGGTCGGGTCGATTGGAATTCCGAACAGTTAAGTTGAAAAGTCGCATGATCGGGACCGTTAGATCTTTTAGATTCAAGGGTTGTGATCTTTCAATTTGAATTTTCCCGCGCAAAAATTTGACTATAAATAGGTTGTGGTGTTTGTGCACCCCGCGCATATTCTTAGTGACCGAACGATTGCAAGCGGGTGATTCGATTTGAAGCCGACTAGGTGTTGTCAATGACTGATCGTGTTTTGCACGCAATCAATCATTTTAAAAAGGTAAGTGGAAAATGTGCAGCTTAACTGAGCGTTCTTCAGCCAGTACCTTCCGAGCGGGGTCATTTGTGCGGGGTTCATCGTCCAATGGAGCGAGTAGTTCGGGCGTGGAAGAAGTGCTAGTGCATGCCGAACGATCGGCCGGGAGCGAGACTAGTTCTACCGAGACATCTACGAGTGGGAACCCAGTGAGTCCGAAACTGAGAAGAGTTTCCACTCGGCAAAGATATGGTGCGTCTACCGTTCGTAACTTCGAATGGGTGAATGGTGAGGTGACCTCTTGTTATTCACTTACCGAGACGTATCCATGATTACCAATTTGTTGGAATACACCGATTGCCTGCGATTTGGTGCTTCCGAGGAGCCTTATCCGATAGGGGTTCGGTCTTGCCGAAACAATACGTTCCCCAATCCAGACATGGTTTGCTTGGCTAAGCATACCAAGAAGATGGACTCCTTCTACGTGTACAATTGCCTATTCCGTGATCTGAAGGTGAAGCTCCCCTTTAACGAGTTTACGATGGGAGTATTAAAGATATTAAATGTGGCTCCGACCCAGTTGCACTCGAATAGCTGGGCACAAATGCAGGCTTTCCACAACCTATGCCGATGTATCAACATCACGCCTTCGCCGATGTTGTTTCTTCATTTTTATTCATCAAGGCCGTCCGATTTGGCGAAATGGGTATCCTTGAGTCGTGTCGGGGATCAACAATTATTGGATAGCTTCACTTCGTCCTACAAGAACTTCAAAGCAGGATTCTTCCGAGTGACTATCTGACCGAACAGGCGTCGCTTTTTTTGTGGTGAAGATGACAAGAGTTTGTTCCCGTTCTATTAGACACATGCTCCCCGTCCATATGACATCGTTCCGAAGGACCTTCTTACGACCGAAGAACGAAAGGGGTTGAAGTTGTTACTTGCCTCGGCGCTTGCCGACCAGGGCACTTATTAACTTGGTTGAATCTCCTATGTGGGAGAATGACCTAATAGGTACGTTGTCTATCCTGTTTCGGCGATTTGCTAAATTCATATTGATGTTGACTTACTTGTGTTTGCAAGAATTATGGTGACTAAGGGTGCCGATGAGCTTAACATACGGAACCTCCTAGCTGGCTGAATGCAACTTGCCAAGCAAAGTGGGGTTGGTGGTAGCAGCTCGACCGTTGCTCGAACCCCCTAACTAGCGCAAGACGACCGAGCGCCTCCCTCCCCAGATAGGAAACGCAAGAAGGCACATAAGGGAAAGGGGGTCGCTCATGAGGGGAAAAAAGTCAAGAAGTTAAAGCAGCCCACGATGCCCGAAACACTACTATAGTGATGCCCCCTACCTTGATGTCTCGGTCCTTTTTGGGCGAGTGTCTCTGCCGATGATTTCCTTTTGGATCGTGGACGAGAATTCTTAGAAGGGTTAGATACCTTGTCCAAGTGGAACTACTTCTACGAGGTGCAGACACGCTCGCTTTTGCTGGATC